TGACAATAACCAAGACTAATGATACAAGAGAATATGCTTACCTCGTTATGTGGATTATTATAGCACAGTTTGGGACTTCCTCCCAGACTGGCATATACCATTCGTTTGAGAAATGCACGAATCCTTTGTTTCAGATCCTAGGTGGCCACCATTTCGGGACTTTGCACATATTCGCGGCCATCTTAACGCATGAACAGCGGTGATTTGCCGTCAAGCGTCTGGAACTAAAATCGGACACCCGAGTAGGCGAACACCGCTGAAACCTCCATAACACCGTAAATTCGTGCTGAAACTAACGAACGCCCTGCCGTTCGGTAGATAGGATATATTACGTACGGGGATTCCAGCGACCAGCAAGATATGTACGGATGGCAGGATTTTCGTGCCTTTTCATCGCACGAACGAGGACCGACCGCAAGGCCAAAATTTATGGAACTATTTTCGGCTAGTGTGCGTATGCGGTCAGTCAAAACTTTAAAGTCCCATAACTCCCGAACGCTTTCACCGAATGGGATGATTTTTTAATATGTTGTTCCCCTAGATGAGGGCTATCTGGGGATACTGAATTTAAGGGTGTACTCCAAGTATTTGGGGTACATCCAAAACTTGGGTGAAAATGTGTGTGTGTTAATTATGTTAACTGTTTATCTGAGGGGAGGAGACGTGTAGGATGTACCATGTTTGTGATTGGGTATTGTACTAATTATGTAGGTCAATAAAAGCCAGTTCTGCTTGACCGTTCAAAACGTAGCCTCGTCTCGTTCTTGGAAGGGGATTTACTGCACAATTACCTTGCTCCATTTTACAGCAATGCCTGACTCGGATCTCGTGGATGGGAATAAGAAACTTCATTATTACACAGCAGCTTGCCAGGAAAAGGACGTCTCCAACGGCTGATACCCCCTTACAACCTAGGTAGCCGTTACAACCGCTTTGATAGGCTGAATTGGACATTTGTGGAACTAGCACAAAGGATGTTAGATGCAATCATAGCACTGTATCAAAACCCCTCAGCTTGAACAGTTGGGCCAAATGTTTGTTCTGATTGGGTCTCAGTAAAAAAATGGTGTTAGGCAGGGCTGCCCGCTGTCACCATTACTATACATACTTTCAATAGAACCACTAGCAGAAAATATTAGAAAAAAAAATATCAGAGAATAAAAAGGTTTTAAGACGAGAGACAGTGAATTAAAGATCAGCATGTATGCAGATGACATGCTCCTTACAATAACGGATCCTAAAAATTCTTTGGACTTCCTGATGGGAGAATTTAAGGAATACAGTCAGCTAGCAAATTATAAAGTTAAATAATGCTAAAACAATTCTGATGAGTATTGGGCTAGAAAAGGAGACAAGAGAGGAGATCAGTAGCAAACATGGATTTGCATGGGCAGTAAGAAAATGTAACTATCTTGGAGTAACGATTACTAATAATACTGATAGATTGATGGAAGAATTTTTTTTAACTCCTTTGAAAACTACAAACCAACTGCTTAAGACCTGGAAAAATCTACAGATTACGCGATGGGGACGTATCAATGTTATTAATTCCTATATTATTCCTAAATGGAACTATTTGAACTACTTCAAATGATACACCTTAGAATCCTGAATAGCTGGTTGACGCTCTTGCAAAATAATCTTAAAAATGTTATTAATAAAGGGAATAAAATAGAATATGTAGGACAACCTTATCTTTGAAATCTACAGACGGGGGTTTAAATTTCCCTAATATGAGATTTATGTATTGGGCGAATATAATATCCCATATATAAATAGAACTCAGATATTAACAGCTATAGATGAGGGCTGGTTTAAAATTGAAATGGAGGACTTAGGGCTGAAGAATTCTGAAGGTCTTATATGGAATACAAAAAAACATTGAAAAAATGGGTGTAGATATTAATAATAAAATATGGACACAAGTGCTCCCGGTATGGGAAGAGATTAAAAGAAATATAGGTCTCAAATATGCAATTTTGGATTCATCAAATCTAGGGGTAATAGAAGCTAATGTTAAAGATATATCTAGGTGGAGAGAACGAGGAATGGACAAGGTGTCTCGGATACTATACCAAGATAAGTTAATACCATTGGAGTCTCTAATCCTAAAATTCCAATTACCTAATTCCGAGATTTTTTACTTACCTCAGAGTTAAATAATTTTTACAAAAACATTTAAATTTGACCACTTAAAAAGCACCAAAGCTATTAAAGTGTATTTTCTCCAATGAGGTAATACCTGCAGTTTTAGCAAAGGCAATAGAAGTAATTAGAAATATAAAATAATCTAGTTAGCTTCTCTCAATAGAAGAAATGGGAAAAAAAGAATTGAATTGTCTATTAGATCAGCGAGAATGGTGTAACGCTATTTATTCTACCCGTAAGCAAGTTCAATGCTTGAATTTAGTAGAAACCTATTATAAAGTTATGAATAGGTGGCATCTGATCCCACACAGAATAGCACAGATGTATTCAAATGTTTCTGCAAGATGTTGACGGTGTGACTTGGATGAAGGTTCATATCTCCATATATAATGGTGTTGCCAGGGATTCAGAAAGCACCTGATCTACTCTTCAAATATATTGGTGATAGGACTGAGATAAACTTAGATGGGAAACCTGAAGTTGCACTGCTGCACATGCATTGGCCAAATATGTCATAAAAAAATGAGAGCTATATAATTCATTGTTTTATTGCATACAAGATTATACTAGCTCGTAACTGGAAAAAAAATAAAAAAAAAAAATACAAGAATTACCATGGGAGCTTATTAAAAAAAATCAAATATTTTTACAGATCGAGATGGAAAGAGATTTAAGTATCCCGTTTTTGAATTCTCCAAAAAGACAGTTTTTTTGGCAAGGTTGGGTAACGAATATGCAATAGATTTTAGACTCAAGTACCGTATATACTCGTGTATAAGTCGATCTCATGTATAAGTCGAGGGCAGTTTTGTGACCAACAATTGTGAAATATGCTATGCCTCGTGGATAAGTCGAGGGTAAAACTTGGGGCTATGAAATTCTGTGATTTTTAGAATTATATACACACACACACACACACACTCATACAAACACACAATCTGCATTCTACACAGACACTCATACAAACACACACACACACTGCATTACATACGCACACACTCTGTGTGTATATAATGCAGAGTGTGTGTGTGTGTGTGTTTGTATGAGTGTGTGTAGAATGCAGATTATATGTGTGTATATAATGCAGAGTGTGTGTTTGTATGAGTGTATATAATGCAGAGTGTGTGTTTGTATGAGTGTGTGTGTTTGTATGAGTGTGTGTGTTGAGGGCATTTTTATTATACATTTTTTTATTTTAATAGTTAACGTTTTTTTTATTTTTTTATTATCTAATTAAATTTTCGTCCCCCCTCCCTGCTTGTTAGCTTGCCAGGGAGGGGGACTCTCATTCCTTGGTGGTCCAGTGTATGGGCTGTGTAGGAGGGGGGGCTGACAGTGAGCGGTTACTTACCTTCCTGCAGCTCCTGTCAGCTCCCTTCTCCTCCGTGCAGCTCCTCTGTCAGCTCCCACTGTAAGTCTCGCGAGAGCCGCGGTGACTACCGAGTATATGGTGGTTTGAAAAGGTATAGGGTCAATATAGGGCTTGCCCAATTCAGTTGTCTAGATTGGTTTGCTGGGTCTGTGTTGCCTTTTGAGACCATATGGTCAGGGCCGGCGCTACCTTTAAGGCGACCTAGGCAGCCGCCTAGGGCGCACCTTAGCAAGGGGCGCCGGATCCCTGCACCAGGAGTCACCGGTGCGGCTCCAACATGCTGCGCCGCCTGAGCGCTTTAGCAAGCCTCAGGCGGCGCAGCACTGCTGTATGGAGGGTGGCTGGATTTGAGTGACCGGCAGGAGCAAAGCGCAGAGCGCTCCCTCCTGCCAGTCTCTCAATGTAGCGTGGCCGGGCGGCGAGGAACGCGGAACAGGAACCTCTGTTTCCTGTACCCGGCCACCTGACAAGAAGTGCTCACTGAGTGAGCACTTCCCTTCAGTCCGCCGGTGGCTGGGTACAGGAAACAGAAGTTCCTGTCCCGCGCCGCCCGGCCACGCTACATAGACAGGAGGGAAGAGGAGGGTAAGGACCACCAGGAGGAGGGAGGGTAAGGACCACCAGGAGGAGGGAGGGGGTAAGGACCACAAGGGGAGAAGAGGGATGGGGGAGTAAGGACCACTGGGGGAGGGGGGTAAGGACCACTGAGGGAGGAGGGCCACTAAGGGGGGAAAGGACCACCAAAAGGGGGTAAGTAGGGAGGACCACTAAGGAGAGGGGAGGAGGGTAAGGACCACTAACGGGGGAGAAAGAGGATAATGACCACTGAGGGGAGATTACCACCAAGGGGTAGGGGAGGGGAATGTCTACTAAGGGGTTTGGCAGAGGGAGGACCACTAAGGGGAGGGATGGAGGACCACTAAGGGGGAGTGAGAAGACCACCAAGGGGGGATTACAGGGGGCCAAGGGAGAGCACTAAGGGACAGAAGGGGAGAACATGGAGAGAAGGGGAAATCAATAATTGACAGGAGGGGAGAGCACTATGCAAAAAAATAAAAAAAAATAAAGAGCTGCTCCCCTCTCAGTCCCTATCCTACCCCACAAACCCTCTTTTACACTACACACATACACAATGCATTCCCCCCCCCACACACACACACACCCAGAACACACAATGCATCCCTTACGTTCACACAAACTCATTCTCTTACACACAGAAACAAAATGCATCTTACACAATCAATGCACCCCTTACAGACACACACTGCATTCAATTAAAAACACATCGTGCATCCCTTACACACACACACCCAGAAACATACAATGCATTCCTTACACGCAAACACACACTGCATCCCCTATAAACACACTACATCCATTATAGAAATTGGTATCCCTATACACTACATTCTATAAGAACACACACACACATTGCATCCTCTACAATAACACATAAAACATCCCCTACACACATACACTCCACTTCCTGTGAGAGATCTCATGGGTGGGCCATGTAGGTGGATTTATGGGTGGGCATTGTAGGCATACTCACGGTCAAGCCCTGGGGGCCCAGACCTTGAGCTGTGTAAGGGGCCCTAAAACATGGAGCTGCTTCCTGTTCGTTAATTGTTGTGAGCACTGTTAAAAACAGTCTCCAGAGAGCCTCTTCTACACCAGACCTGTGGAGCCAGACTGAGCCCATCATCAGCCTCTTGTCCTCATCTGGTGGTAAGAAGGCAATCCGATATATTTTTAGTGGCACTAATCTCTAATTTACCTCACATTAAATGGATACTATAGTCACCAGAAGTACTACAGCATAATGTAGTGGTTTTGGTGTCTATAGCCTGTGCCTGTAGGCTTTTTAATGTAAACACACAGATAAAAGACACTTTGTGAAGACTGGCGTTGGCCCATATGGCAGAGCATATGGGCGGGGCATTGTGATGTCACATGGTGGGCAGGACATATGGGGGGGGGCGGCGGCAAAAAAATTTCTGCCTAGGGTGGCAAAAATCCTTGCACCGGCCCTGCATTTGGTAGCCCAGGAATGTGAAATAACCCCATCATTTACAACCTGAGGCTTCTCCAATAATGTAACCGCTGCTTAATGTACCTCCGCCTATATTATATGAGGCACCTACGATTTCCTTATCTCCGCCCCCGCATTTTTCTGGTAATATCCAGGAATGTAGGGAATTTCTCAATCAGATTGAGTACCACTTTGAGGCCTCACCTGGTTCATTTCCTTCAGATAGAGCTAAGATTGGGTATCCGATGAACCAACTTAAATGTAAGGCCCTAACTTGGGCTAATCCATTGTGGGAAAGTAATAGGAGGATCGCTCATTGTTACCAGGAATTCTTGGCTGAATTCAAATGGACGTTTGAACCATTAGGCAGACAGGAAACGCCTCCACTGCCCTAATGCATATCAAACAAGGGAACCGGTCTATCTCGGATTATGCCATAGAATTTCGTACCTTGGCATCTGAGATAGACTGGATGTCAGGGTCTTACCTGGGTTGCGAGTCTGTAGCGCAGATATGTTGCTCACCCTTGCAGATAGCCACAGGTCAAGGTGGTCAGGTAAGAATTCACCTGGCCTGTGGGTCTGTGCAGGATGAAGTACCAAGTCGCAGGACAGGCAAGGACTCAAACAACAGGATCGTCAAGGGATAGCCGAGGTCAAAGGATGCCAGAGGACAGGAACAACGAAGAGTAGCCGAATTCAAGGGATGCCAGAGGTCAGAGTAAATGTAGTCAGAAGCCGGGGTCAATAATAAGTAGCAGATCAAATGATAGGAACACTGGTACGGAACACACAACAGGATCAAAGACTTGATCCTGATCATAGGGTGAGGCTGAGTTTAAATACCCTTCTGATGTCTGATCAGGGTCAGGTGAAGCACAGCCATAGTCAAGGTAGAGCCTCCAGAGTAATAGACATGCCAGGATGAACAGGACTGGAATGACTTGCACATAAACAAAGCTGCTGTGGCTCAGAGATAGGAAGCAGGACCAGGACTGCAAAGTTTCCCAGTTCATATCCACTGTTGGGAACTCCTTGGGTGACCATGTCTGGCCGTCTGTCTTCCACGGTGAGAATCGTGACACTGGGCTAACAACGGATTAATTGCTGCTTTTAAAAAAGGATTATCTGAACTTTTACTTGATGAAATTGCTGCCAAAGACCTGCCTAAAGGGTTAAATGACTTTATTACTTATGTGATGCAGATCGATAATAGACTCAGGACCAGGGAAATTGCTAGAAACAGAATTAGATATTTGACTGTCACTAGCACCTCGATTTTCCAAACCTGTTGTCTCTGGCTTTCTGATGCTGTCTGAACCCAAACCTATGCAGTTAGGGGTTACTGGACTGTCTGAGGCAGAGAAACAATATAGGAGAAAAGAGGGTCTTTGCTTGTATTGTGGCAAAAAAGGACACATGAGAGGTGCTTGTGCTATACGTCCAGAAAACTTCCGCACCTAAGAACCTAAAGGGGACAAGTCTTAGGTGTAATGGATACCTCCTCAAGCAATTCCTGAAGCAGATTTCTCCTTGACATTTCCACCTTTTGCAATGAGGTGCGGCTGGTAACTTTATTGATTTATATTTTGTTAAGAAACACATTATACCAGTCAAGGAGAGATCATCACCTCTAGCAGTTGAGGCTATTGATGGGAGACCCCTATCTCAACCATTGATTACCCATGAGACCTTACCTATTTGCATTACGATAGGAGCTTTGCATAAGGAAGACATTACCTTCCAGACAATCGCTTCCCCTTCTTGTCCCATCGTATTAGGTTTCCCTTGGCTCATCAAGCATAACCCTCATATTGACTGGACTAAAGGGGAAATACTGAGTACAGAGCTTTACCTCTGCTACGTCTCTGACCCCCGAAATTCCTGTACAGTATTGGGAGGCGTTTAGTAAAAGCCAGACTGATGTTCTTCCTCCACACAGGTCATATGATTGCTCCATTGATCTGTTGCCTCCTAAGGGGGCAGTATATGCCATATCCCCACAAGAAAGTAAGATCATGGATGAGTACATCAAAGAATCGTTAAGAAAAGGCCATAAACGTAAATCATCCTCACCTGCTGGAGCAGGATTCTTTTTTGTAGCTAAAAAAGATGGAGAGTTACGTCCTTGCATTGACTACAGGGCATTAAACAAGATTACTATAAAGAATATCTATCCCATTCCTCTTATATGGGAATTGTTTGATAGACTCCAGGATGCTAAGATCTTTACCAAACTTGACCTTAGGACTGCATACAATTTGGTGAGGATTAGGGAGGATCACGAATGGAAGATGGCATTTAACACTAGGAATACCTTGTCATGCCCTTCGGATTATGCGTGTTTCAGGATTGTATTAAGGGACTATATCTATGCATTTGTTCTAGTTTACCTGGATGATATTATTATTTATTCCCCAGACCTCCAGACTCATCATGAACATGTTAAACAAGTATTACAAACGTTGCTTGGGACTTTATTGTAAACTTGAGAAATGCGTATTTGATCAACATGAGGTTCAGTTTTTGGGGTATAATATTTCTGCCTCTGGTTTCCAAATGGATCCTCGCAAACTAGAGGCAATGGGTTAAAAGCCATACCGAGGTTTATTGATTTCTCTAACTATTACAGGAGATTCATCAAAGGTTTCTCTTCGGTAATAGCCCCCATCACCAATATGACACGCAAGGGGGCTAATTGTACTATATGGCCTAAAGAAGCTAAAGAAGCATCTGCTGACATATTAGGACATCCTGACAGTAGTAAATCTTTCCTCCAAGACAGGGGTCAGGGCTGTTCTTTTTCAGAGAGAGAGTCAGGATGCCCCTCCTGCCGAGCGTAACTATGACATTGGTAATAGAGAACTGTTAGCCATCATACTAGCACTTAAGGAATGGCGACATCTTTTGGAGGGTTAGAAGGATCCCATTCTGATTATTACTGATCACAAGAACCTGGCATATATTGGGGATGCCAAACGACTGTCTTCTAGACAAGCTAGATGGTCATTATTTTTGTCTCGCTTTAACTTCGTTATCACCTACAGACTCGGTTCTAAGAATGTTAAATCTGACACCTTATCTAGGCAATTTGACGTTTAATCGGATCAAGAACAAGAGACATCACCTATTATTTCTCCTGAATGTATCATTGCATCCACTGTCCTTTCTTTATCATCCCCTTTGCTCCGTGCTATCATGGCAGCTCAGCCCCAGACACCTTGCAACAAACATAGAAACATAGAATGTGACGGCAGATAAGAACCATTCGGCCCATCTAGTCTGCCCAATTTTTTAAAATACTTTCATTAGTCCCTGGCCTTATCTATAGTTAGGATAGCCTTATGCATATCCCACGCATGCTTAAACTCCTTTGCTGTGTTAACCTCTACCACGCCAACTGGAAGGCTATTCCATGCATCCACTACCCTTTCAGTAAAGTAATACTTCCGGATATTATTTTTAAACCTTTGCTCTTCTAATTTAAGACTATGTCCTCTTGTTGTGGTAGTGTTTCTTCTTTTAAATATATAGTCTCCTCCTTTACTGTGTTAATTCCCTTTATGTATTTAAATGTTTCTATCATATCCCCCCTGTCTCATCTTTCCTCCAAGCTATACATGTTAAGATCCTTTAACCTTTCCTGGTAAGTTTTATCCTGCAATCCATGAACCAGTTTTGTAGCCTTTCTCTGAACTCTCTCTAAAGTATCAATATCCTTCTGGAGGTACGGTCTCCAGTACTGCGTACAATACTCCAGGTGAGGTCTCACCAGTGTCCTGTACAATGGCATGAGCACTTCCCTCTTTCTACTGCTAATACCTCTCCCTATACAACCAAGCATTCTGCTAGCATTTCCTGTCGCTCTATTACATTGTCTGCCTACCTTTAAGTCATCAGAAATAATCACCCCTAAATCCCTTTCCTCATATGTTGAGGTTAGGACTCTATCAAATATTCTGTACTCTGCTCTTGGGTTTTTATGTCCAAGATGCATTATATTGCAATTATCCACATTAAATGTCAGTTGCCACAACTCTGACCATTTTTCTTATTTACCTAAATCATTTGCCATTTGGCTTATCCCTCCTGGAACATCAACCCTGTTACATACCTTAGTATCATCAGCAAAAAGACATACCTTACCATCAAGACCTTCTGCAATATCACTAATACAAATATTAAAGAGAATGGGTCCAAGTACAGATCCCTGAGGTACCCCACTGGTGACAAGTCCAAGCTTCGAATATATTCCATTAACTACAACCCTCTGTTGCCTGTCACTCAGCCACTGCCTTACCCATTCAACAATATTGGAATCCAAACTTAAAGATTGCAGTTTATTGATAAGCCTTCTATGTGCAACAGTGTCAAAAGCCTTACTGAAATCTAGGTAAGCAATGTCTACTGCACCACCCTGATCTATAATTTTAGTTACCCAATCAAAAAAATCAATAAGATTAGTTTGGCATGATCTCCCTGAAGTAAACCCATGTTGTCTCTGATCTTGAAATCCATGTGTTTTTAGATGTTCAACAATCCAATCCTTTAACATGGTTTCCATTACTTACTTTACTTTTGAGAAACAGGATTAAAATACACAGGGCTAAAAGAAAAGGGGCTAAAATACAGGGGGCAAAAATACATGAGGGCTAAAAGACAGGGGG